ACATATTAGAGGCAGAAACAGGAGTTAGGAGGGGTAGAGGTAGACCTAGATTAGATTACTGTTCGCAAATAGTTAAGGATGTGGGTTGTTCTAGTTTTAGGGAAATGCGAAGATTAGCTCAGGATAGGAAAGAGTGGAGGTACGTGTCCAACCAGTCTTAGAACTGACGACCTTATGATGATGATGATGATGAGAGCAGCATCTTTTTTATATTTGTTTATTTCTTACAACCATTGTATAATTTTTGAACTTTTTTCTTATCTGAAGTAGGTATCTTTTTATTTTAGATGTTTCACTCTTCAGTACATTCCACATTTTAGAGTAACCTGTCACTAAGTTCTAAGATAGAGACCGTAAATATAGAGAATGGATTGAGCAATACCCTCATAAAATTGACCACTCTCTAATAAGAAGAGAAAAAACACCGTGAGGTCAATACCTGTTTCTATTTCTCTTTTTTTACCCCATTCATCCGCTCCTGTAGGGCTGTGACGCAGATCAATCTAAATTCTAGAAAAAGACAGCTATTGACCGCACGATCGTTTTGTTTCTCTCACACGTTTCTGCTTGTACTTACTTTATACCTAGATAGAGAAAGCGCAATCCATTCTCTATGTCTATGATAGAGACCAACAACTGAGGATGATAACTTGACTGCCGAAACGAGTTTTACGTTTCTAAACATTTTTTGAATGGAATTTTGGGATTCATTTATTAATGTTCAATTTTCTCAGAAGATGTGGCAAACTGATTACTTTTTTAACAATTTCATCGTAATTTAAACAATCTTGTAGTCTCAAATTGTCATAAACAAATTGATTGTTTTAATTACTTTAGCCTTTATTATTATGAAAAGTTTTGACATGTCGATTTTGGAAATAATTCAACATACTTAGTGTAAGGCATTTTTTTACTGAGAAAGATTTTGTAAATTAATTATATTTCAAAGCAGTATCATAACCATAACTCATTTTACAGGAATATTACAAAAACTCAGGATGCCATGTGCTATGCAGTTTTGGTTGTTTTGGATTTCCTTCACTCCGAAAGTAGAAGTAAGCAGAGAGGTGCTGCTAAAAGAAGAATATTGGAAAAGAATTTGGTAAGTAATAGAGTCTTGATTAAATGTATTAATAGGCGTGATCCCAGAAACTTCAGCTTCTTAGGCAATTATAATATTTCAATCAAAACCATAATTAAACAGTGAAACTTTTGAATACTTATTTTAAATTATTTACATTTTAGAAACTAGAAAATTAATGAAATATTAAGACAACACCATAAGAGATATTTAGTTTTAAATATTTTTCCTTTCATATGTCTCTAAGTTGACAGAAAACTAAGGACGCTACGTCAACATTTAAAAGTTAGTAAAAGTTCAGGTGATACAAAATTAAAGTGCAATTTTATAATTGCTTGAATAATATTTTCAAGTTAATGACTTCGGAAACGTTAAGATAACCCTATTAAATTAAACAGCTAATGTAATGTAGATTCTGTTTCAATTTAATTGTGAAAATATTGTGCTGCGTCCAAGTCTGCGATTTTCTATCGTTTAATATTGAAACGAATTAATTTTTACATGCTAAACACGAAAAATTGTACGCCTGAAAAGTTTGATTATTTAATTACTCTTTAATTTATTTCTTGTGCTTTCTGTTCTCGTTTTGTTTTGGCCATCTCTCTCGCACTTGCAAAACACACTTAATTTCAATTTCCTAAAAACAGGGCAAAATCTAGCTAGGCGATTGGTTAAATTACGAAATATTTGCTGCGAACCGTCGCAGAAATCTAATGTGATGCTTCTGCGTAGCTTTTTATACGTCATCAGTGCTTCATGCTGTAGCTTTCCTTTCACAACTCCATGCATGCCTGAGCCCATAAGACGTTCATTGCCGAGATTATCGTGGTGCCTGGCTCGTAGTTGTAAGAAGCTTTATTCGTATCATTAAATTCAATTTACAGAGTTCTTTTCTTTATAAAACTAGATTTATTTTATTGCAAATACTATCATTTCTCTCTATAAGCGAGTTACAGTAATTAAATTCATACATCCAGTAATATTAATTTATGTATTTGAGAACAAGCGTTTTTTTTGTTGGTCTTAGTCACTTTGTTAAAGCATACTTTAATGTAATTATTTTAAGTTATTGCTTTTACTGTTTTAATAATAAGAAAAGTGGGGAGCTAATTTAATTATATCTGACTCCTTTCACAACATTTTTTTTCCACAGGAACATGAGAGAAACTGCGGATGCCATGCGTTCTGGAGCCATTACATTCCAGGATGTAGGAAGCATAAATGTCTTTTTCTCCCATTGGATACAGAGGCAGCATGAAGGAAGAATTTATGCCAATGAATTGGTAAGTAACAACATTTATATTGTGTGGTCTATATTGTAATTGCATCCATCTGCAACTAAGTTTATAGCAAAATTAAAAATTTACTGCTACTTGTTCTCATGTTCATTTTTATTTTATTTTAAATCTTGTTTATTTAGTAATTTATGTAGTTTTGTCCAGGGTGGCGGTCCAATACTTACACAGCTATATGTTTTTTGTAAAGTTTCGGTTTATTCAACCATCTTCAGACTTTTGAAGTATTACTCCTTCTACATAGATATTAACTTGTTTTAAACATTCTAACATATTGAGCTACTACTAGCTCAACATGTTACAAAAAACATATAATTGTGTAACTATTTGATCGCCACCCTGAAAAAAACTACATAACTTAATAGTAACGGTCGGGAATCTAACTTAAATTCTTTCTACAGTCATGTTTCCAGTATCCTGAGAAATATCAAATGCAGTACAGCAGAGTGGAGGTAGAACTATGTTTTTTCAGTATACAGAAATTAATACACCATTTAATTGTTTATAAACCGTGTATTATGTATATTATTATTACTATCACTTGTATCTAAGTTTTCAGCAAAATTAATGACACCACCTTAAAAATTTGCTTTCATGTACGTTTTTATTTAATTTGAAATCTTGTTTATTTATTATTAATTTGTTTCCTTTGTCCTTTTCTACAGATTGACCAACAAGTGAAAATGAATTGAAGTAAGATTTGTTGCTCCACGAATGGTGTCGTTTTCCCTGGACTTGATTCTTCAGTTGCTGTTCCCATCTTCACCTTTTAACGTAATTCGTTATTTGAACTCCACTGCAACATCAATCATCTGCAATGGTATCTACATTTCACACCTCTAAACCTCGGAATGTTAGATTCTGCAATTAATTAAGGTGAGAATACATGACCTAATTAATATTAATTGTTCCTTACTAATCTGTTACCACCCTATCTGTTTCAGATCGACGGTGGAGAAGACAAAGAAGATCCCATAGCTAAAATACTTTTTATCTTGCATGCTTAATCGAATAGAATTATTTCATTTTATTCAAATTAATTAAATTATTTTGCATGTTTTTTATAATCCGTTTTATTTGAATTAATTTTTATTTTGCATGCTTATTTTATTTTATTTTATTTGAATTAAGTTGTGATTGTGGTTATTATTATTGTTTGTTTTTGTAGTACTAGTACTAACATATTTCTTTATTTTTTTAATAGGAAGTAGTAATAATAGTCTAACAAAAGTCTTGCTTACCTCTTCGCTTAGCTTACTGCATATTCTTACTATAAATTGCTTTGCATTTACCCTACGTCTTCTACATGATTCAACGTTTCGTTATCGTGTGTGTTTCTTCTCACCCTTGTGGAATTAGGGAGGGCCTCCCCGAACGACTTCCCTTGGGCTTAGCTATTTAGTTGATCTTAAAAGTGTCTTATACACTTTTCGCGAGTCTACTCTAGCGTTACTTCCTTTCAGANAAGCGTTTTTTTTGTTGGTCTTAGTCACTTTGTTAAAGCATACTTTAATGTAATTATTTTAAGTTATTGCTTTTACTGTTTTAATAATAAGAAAAGTGGGGAGCTAATTTAATTATCTCTGACTCCTTTCACAACATTTTTTTTCCACAGGAACATGAGAGAAACTGCGGATGCCATGCGTTCTGGAGCCATTACATTCCAGGATGTAGGAAGCATAAATGTCTTTTTCTCCCATTGGATACAGAGGCAGCATGAAGGAAGAATTTATGCCAATGAATTGGTAAGTAACAACATTTATATTGTGTGGTCTATATTGTAATTGCATCCATCTGCAACTAAGTTTATAGCAAAATTAAAAATTTACTGCTACTTGTTCTCATGTTCATTTTTATTTTATTTTAAATCTTGTTTATTTAGTAATTTATGTAGTTTTGTCCAGGGTGGCGGTCCAATACTTACACAGCTATATGTTTTTTGTAAAGTTTCGGTTTATTCAACCATCTTCAGACTTTTGAAGTATTACTCCTTCTACATAGATATTAACTTGTTTTAAACATTCTAACATATTGAGCTACTACTAGCTCAACATGTTACAAAAAACATATAATTGTGTAACTATTTGATCGCCACCCTGAAAAAAACTACATAACTTAATAGTAACGGTCGGGAATCTAACTTAAATTCTTTCTACAGTCATGTTTCCAGTATCCTGAGAAATATCAAATGCAGTACAGCAGAGTGGAGGTAGAACTATGTTTTTTCAGTATACAGAAATTAATACACCATTTAATTGTTTATAAACCGTGTATTATGTATATTATTATTACTATCACTTGTATCTAAGTTTTCAGCAAAATTAATGACACCACCTTAAAAATTTGCTTTCATGTACGTTTTTATTTAATTTGAAATCTTGTTTATTTATTATTAATTTGTTTCCTTTGTCCTTTTCTACAGATTGACCAACAAGTGAAAATGAATTGAAGTAAGATTTGTTGCTCCACGAATGGTGTCGTTTTCCCTGGACTTGATTCTTCAGTTGCTGTTCCCATCTTCACCTTTTAACGTAATTCGTTATTTGAACTCCACTGCAACATCAATCATCTGCAATGGTATCTACATTTCACACCTCTAAACCTCGGAATGTTAGATTCTGCAATTAATTAAGGTGAGAATACATGACCTAATTAATATTAATTGTTCCTTACTAATCTGTTACCACCCTATCTGTTTCAGATCGACGGTGGAGAAGACAAAGAAGATCCCATAGCTAAAATACTTTTTATCTTGCATGCTTAATCGAATAGAATTATTTCATTTTATTCAAATTAATTAAATTATTTTGCATGTTTTTTATAATCCGTTTTATTTGAATTAATTTTTATTTTGCATGCTTATTTTATTTTATTTTATTTGAATTAAGTTTTATTTGGGGTGCTTATTATTGTTTATTTTATTTGAATTAAGTTGTGATTGTGGTTATTATTATTGTTTGTTTTTGTAGTACTAGTACTAACATATTTCTTTATTTTTTTAATAGGAAGTAGTAATAATAGTCTAACAAAAGTCTTGCTTACCTCTTCGCTTAGCTTACTGCATATTCTTACTATAAATTGCTTTGCATTTACCCTACGTCTTCTACATGATTCAACGTTTCGTTATCGTGTGTGTTTCTTCTCACCCTTGTGGAATTAGGGAGGGCCTCCCCGAACGACTTCCCTTGGGCTTAGCTATTTAGTTGATCTTAAAAGTGTCTTATACACTTTTCGCGAGTCTACTCTAGCGTTACTTCCTTTCAGACAGGGTACAGTGGGTTATCTGGAATAGGAGCAATAGGCGACTGCCCAGCTTGCCTTGGCGAAATCTGTCCGATCTTCTCTACCAAAGCTATTAGTATTTGTCGTTAGTCCTTGTAATTGCACTATTTGCTTTCAGATAATGAGGTAATTCCTAAGAAGAACGAAGACATCGTATTTTTTGCTTACTTTTGGTATTTCCTTTGAAATTTCATTTGTTTTCTTGTATTTCTCTTTCAGGTATTTTTTCCATGTAATTTCATTTGTTTTCTTGTCTTTTTCTTACAGGTATTTTGTTTTTTACTCTGAAAACTGTTTTATTAACATAATGTAAACTAGTAATAATAGGTAAAGCTTTTCTAAATTGATTTTTGTCATAATTGTTGCTACCAAATTAAATATTATTTATTTATTTATGTATCAGATTAGATCATTTGTTAAAAGTTACTAAAACTTTCATAAATTTTATTCATTTGGGAGGACAGGGTGGCTATAAGGAGAGATGTGGAGGCCACACAGAGTTAGAGGGCATTTTTGTCCCAAATATAGTGTTTAAATGGTAATAAAACAGTTTATGGATTTTTAATGAATTACAAATAACTGCAAATGTTAAGAAATTGTTAATGTAACTAATTCCTGAATTAAAAATACTGTTTTTTTCAACAAATAAAAGTGTATCAACTTGTCTGTTAATAAAATTAGTACTTCGCAATCTATAAATGTTGTTTTTATTATAAATAGTATTAATTCAAAAGTAATTTTTCATAAAAGAAATCTTGGTTAATCTGTAAAGTGATCAGTAACAGAATTACAAAATAAATTTTCGTTTTAATATAAACTAAGTTTCATTTACTTAATAGCAACACCATCTTTTTCTAAGAAATATAATCCTCGATTAAATCGTGGAAATTACTGTAATTTTGTTATTACCAAACGCCCTCTTGCGCTTAGTAGCTGAACTATGTTGAAAAATAAAAGGAAAACTGCTACATAAAGTTAGTACCTAGACAGTCGTGATATGCCAAAAATTGTTTTTTTATTCTAGTCCTGCCCCTCCACATTTGATAATCCGACCTTTGTTTCATTAAAAATTAGATTTTTTAGATTAGATCCATTTTTTTTTTTAATGCTTAATAACTTGGATGCNCCGAGTTTAAAAAAAGACCTTATTCGACTTATGCTCTCCTAATACAAATTTTCAAATTTAACATAATTTTCAGTTTTGTGCCATATACGAGGGCTGGTCAACAAGTAATGGAACAACCAAATTTTCCGAGTTTAAAAAAAGACCTTATTCGACTTATGCTCTCCTAATACAAATTTTCAAATTTAACATAATTTTCAGTTTTGCGTCATATACGAGGGCTCGTCAAAAAGTAATTGAACAACCAAATTTTCCGACCTTTAAAAAAGACCTTATTCGACTTATGCTCTCCTAATACAAATTTTCAAATTTAACATAATTTTCAGTTTTGCGTCATATACGAGGGCTGGTCAAAATGTAATAAAAAATCAAAACTTTGGTTGTCAAAAAGTAAAAACAACCAAAGCTTTGATTTTTTATTACTTTTCGACCAGCCCTCGTATATGGCTCAAAACCGAAAATTTTCATAAATTTCAGCATTTGTATTAGGAGAGCATAAGTTGGATTGGATCTTTTTCAGAGTTCCAATTTTTAGCGCGGGATTAACCTTAGCATTCTCTCTAATTTTTCAGTTCCTGGGCGTATGATGGCTCAAGTAATTTTCAAAAATTGACACAATTGCCTTTCTTTTTATAGTATTTATGCTATTTCATTCTTTATTGTTGTTCAAACGAAAGGATATAAAATTAAAAACGCATACTTTACTTATTTATTTATTTAAATACCAAAATAATGATAATACAATGAAAATACATTTATTATTTTGAAACACAATTTATATTTATTATAACAAATAATAACAAAAGTACAAATTTATTCCAAATACCAACAATACATTAATATAAACAAACTAAGAAATAATACATTCCATCAACTTATTAACAGTTAAAAATAAAACACCTGTTAGAGACACAACAAAATCCATTATATATCAAATAATATACAATAAAAAGCATCATTTTATACATAAACTGTCATATGATTATTATTTAAATGCAAGATTAGGGAGAAGAAGCCCCCCTAACCCTCTGTGGCCTCCGCATCTCCCCTTATAGCCACCCTATCCACCCAAACGAATATTAATTTTGAACAATTATACCAAAAGATCAATTTAGAGACATTTTAAATATCAACCTGTATGATTATAAAGATATAACAGTTGATGCAGTAAAAAACAAGATAGACAAGAAAATTCATGAATTTCAAACAAAATACAAAAAGTAAGCAAAAAATACGATGTCTATCATTCTTCATAGGAAATACCTCATTATCTGAAAGCAAATAGTGCAAAATTAACAGGACTAACGACAAATACTAATAGCTTTGGTAGAGAAGATCGGACAGATTTCGCCAAGGCAAGCTGGGCAGTCGCCTATTGCTCCTATTCCAGATAACCCACTGTACCCCGTCTGAAAGGAAGTAACGCTAGAGTAGACTCGCGAAAAGCGTATAAGACACTTTTAAGATCAACTAAATAGCTAAGCCCAAGGGAAGTCGTTCGGGGAGGCCCTCCCTAATTCCACAAGGGTGAGAAGAAACACACACGATAACGAAACGTTGAATCATGTAGAAGACGTAGGGTAAATGCAAAGCAATTTATAGTAAGAATATGCAGTAAGCTAAGCGAAGAGGTAAGCAATACTATTGTTAGACTACTACAAAAAAAATAAATATGTTAATAGTACTACCACAACAAACGATACAAAAAACATTCAAAATAAAAAGTTAATTCCAATAAAATGAACTTTAAGAATAATTCTGTTAGATAAAGCATGCAAGATCAAGAACTATTGTAACTGTGGCTTTCCTTTGTCTTCTCCACCGTCGATCTGAAACAGATAGGGTGGTAACAGATTAATAAAAAGCAATTAAAATAACTGATCCAATATTCTCACCTTAATTAACTGTAGACTATGTAGCGTCCCAAATTTTGCAGATGTAAAAAACAAACCAAATCCACAAAAAACACGATAGCCTTATAAAACTGAAGTTCAATTCTCTCATTTGTTGGACAACCTGCAATATAAAAAAAACATTAATTAATAATTAATTAAACTCCAATATAAAAATAAATAATGAAGTAGAATAAAAACAAGCATGGAAAAGCAAATTAAATTATAAATTTCATGCAAAATTTAAAGATTTTAAAATAGGGTTATGTGATAGCCTGCCAGAATCAGCAAAATGTAGTGACACTATAAACGGCATCCAGACCTTTTTACAAAAAAATTGAATAAACTGAAACCTCACAATTTTCTGCATCCCTAACAGTTCAATTTCCAATTAATGAATGTTCAGGTGCTCTCACTTATCAGTTAAATATTAACTGGATAATGTTGCATAGTGAAGAATACCAGAAAAAACGTTACCATTGTGCTTAAGCGTTCACATTAGTTGACCAGTCTAATTGATGTGATTATTATGATATATTTCAATTTTAATCAGTAGAGAACTCTTGACTATCATTGACAAGTTTAAAAGTGAATGACTAAATATTGATATAATTTAAGATTACAAAGAGTCTGGGACCGTTCTTTTAAAACATTGAGCATGCAAGAGACACTCCCTGGAATTAACCTTACTCTCCGAACCCACTGTATATAATTTTTATTAGAGACTAGTTCATCGAATGTCTTTCAAATTCAGAGTAATAAAAAGTTCATGTAGAAATCTTTTCTATGGTAGAAATCATAGATAATAGGTAGAAATCATCTTAAAATGATCTAAAAAAAAGAGCAAGCGGTGCAGCGATTGTTGCTTGATTAGATAATTATAAAGTTTCTAATAATTTGTGCGCATTCTAATTTAAACTTTTAAGTTTTAAACCATTTTGTGGTGTTGAAGCTTGATTTTGTAGAGACTACCATTAAATAAAACAGATTAATATAACTTTGAAGTTTTGAAAAATGCATATTAAAGTTCAACTAGGATCGGTTATTTTAAAAGAAAAACCGTTTGTTTATGTTTTAAGTAGTAAATCTAGAACAGAAAGATGCGACTATTGCTTTAATAGGTAAAAATGTTATTTAAAAGTATATAACACTATTCATATTTTTTACTTGTTTCAGGGGACAATTACTTAAGTGTTCCCAATGTCATTATGTATACTACTGCGATAAAACTTGCCAAACAGTTGCCTGGGCCGTTCATAAATATGAATGTCTGAATTTTAAAAAGGTTGCACCTCTAGTTGTCCCAGACTCGGCAAGACTGCTTGCCAGAATAATTAAAAAACTAGAAAAGGGGGGAAACCAAATCAAGTCTTACCTTTCAGAAAGTAGCAGTAGATTTAGAACATTTAAGGATCTTATGTCTCGTAAGTTAATCTTATTGGCAATATAACTCTAGATGTTATATTTAACTAACATCAAGCATGGATTAACATTAATGGGTATATGTAATTTTAAAGATTATCCAGATGTGAAGAATGACTCAAAAAGAATGGAACATTTCAACTCACTCTGTGGAGTGTTAAATAAATTTCTGGGTGATTCGTTTATTCCTAATCCAGCAGAACTTTTAGGTATTTATGGAAAGGTAACAGGATATATTGCAGCTTATTTTTGCTTTTATAAATGTTTTTTTTATAATTTTTGTTTTCAATTCTGCATGGCCAAATTCAGTTTTTTAATAATCTTCTTTCATATCGCGTTTATCTTCCTTTTTTTTATCATGTACACTGAATATTCAGATTATATTCCAACTTTTCAAACAAACCTTTCTTCCCTTTGGGAGTTTATTTTTGTAATAATTCGATTTTGCAGATGTGCATTAATTCTTTTAATATTAATGATCAAGAGATGAGAAGTATTGGAACTGGTATTTATTTAGCGGCATCTGTGCTTGATCACTCTTGTGCTCCAAATGCTGTTCCTGTCTTCCAAGGAACTACCTTAGAAATACGTGCAATAGAAAATATGTCTAACTTAGATTTTAGTAAGGTGATGCAAGTAACGTAAAACAAAATTATTATTCCTCTTAATTTCGTTTTAACAATTTTTAGGTATTTATTAGTTATATTGATGTACTGGCAACTCCAAGGAAAAGACAAGAAGAATTATTAAAGGCCTATTATTTTTTGTGTGAATGCCCAAAATGTTTGAATGAAAAAGAATTGAGATTAATGACTGCTGCTGCTTGTCCTATTTCTTCATGTAAGGGTTACATTGAGACATATAAAGGAGAAAAGGATGCAAGTCCATNACGTAGGGTAAATGCAAAGCAATTTATAGTAAGAATATGCAGTAAGCTAAGCGAAGAGGTAAGCAATACTATTGTTAGACTACTACAAAAAAAATAAATATGTTAATAGTACTACCACAACAAACGATACAAAAAACATTCAAAATAAAAAGTTAATTCCAATAAAATGAACTTTAAGAATAATTCTGTTAGATAAAGCATGCAAGATCAAGAACTATTGTAACTGTGGCTTTCCTTTGTCTTCTCCACCGTCGATCTGAAACAGATAGGGTGGTAACAGATTAATAAAAAGCAATTAAAATAACTGATCCAATATTCTCACCTTAATTAACTGTAGACTATGTAGCGTCCCAAATTTTGCAGATGTAAAAAACAAACCAAATCCACAAAAAACACGATAGCCTTATAAAACTGAAGTTCAATTCTCTCATTTGTTGGACAACCTGCAATATAAAAAAAACATTAATTAATAATTAATTAAACTCCAATATAAAAATAAATAATGAAGTAGAATAAAAACAAGCATGGAAAAGCAAATTAAATTATAAATTTCATGCAAAATTTAAAGATTTTAAAATAGGGTTATGTGATAGCCTGCCAGAATCAGCAAAATGTAGTGACACTATAAACGGCATCCAGACCTTTTTACAAAAAAATTGAATAAACTGAAACCTCACAATTTTCTGCATCCCTAACAGTTCAATTTCCAATTAATGAATGTTCAGGTGCTCTCACTTATCAGTTAAATATTAACTGGATAATGTTGCATAGTGAAGAATACCAGAAAAAACGTTACCATTGTGCTTAAGCGTTCACATTAGTTGGCCAGTCTAATTGATGTGATTATTATGATATATTTCAATTTTAATCAGTAGAGAACTCTTGACTATCATTGACAAGTTTAAAAGTGAATGACTAAATATTGATATAATTTAAGATTACAAAGAGTCTGCGACCGNGTCTTGGCCAAAGAAGACAAAAAGGAAAAAGAAGATGTAGGCACAGTTATAGGAATTGATTTGGGAACAACATATTCATGGTAAGTAGAGAAAATACATTATTTTCGGTATTGCCTTTTATAATTAAAGTTGCTCATATAATAAACTAATAAGATGCATAATGATGAATGAAAAAGCCATTAAACATTCATACATCAGGTGTTTGTTATTCATCATGCTAAATTAACTTTTGAGTTTTTTTTTATTGCAGCAGATGTTAAACTTTATACATTCATAACCTTATTTTTTCATACCTAAGCTAATCAGCCAATTATGCTAGGCACATTTATGTTTTGAGATAAGTTCCCGTTGTTAAGCATTTAGTTTACAAAATTGCAAAACTGAAAAATAAAATTTCCTTTTAGTTAACACGTTATCAAAATTTTGAATGTAAGGCTTTTCTTTGAATGTTAAATATTTCCCGAATTATAACAAATATAAGTTGTAAATGGTAAATTTGTATCTTTTTCTTTATTCAATTCTAGTGTCGGGGTTTACAAAAATGGTAGGGTAGAAATTATAGCAAACGACCAAGGTAACAGAATTACGCCGTCGTATGTTGCTTTCACCTCTGATGGTGAGCGTTTAATCGGAGACGCTGCCAAAAACCAGCTTACAACCAACCCTGAAAACACAGTATTTGACGCGAAACGTCTGATTGGTCGAGAATGGTCTGATCCAACAGTACAAAACGATATCAAATTTTTCCCGTTCAAAGTAATAGAGAAGAACTCAAAACCCCACGTGAAAGTAGTTACGAGCCAGGGTGAAAAGATCTTTGCCCCTGAAGAAATTTCTGCCATGGTCTTGGGCAAAATGAAAGAGACTGCTGAAGCTTACCTTGGTAAAAAAGTTACCCATGCTGTTGTAACAGTACCAGCATATTTCAATGATGCTCAGAGACAGGCCACCAAAGACGCCGGTGTTATTGCTGGACTTAATGTTATGAGAATTATCAATGAACCTACAGCTGCTGCCATTGCATATGGTATGGATAAGAAAGAAGGGGAAAAGAATGTGTTAGTCTTTGATTTGGGTGGTGGAACCTTTTTCAGCAATTTCTTAGTGTTAATACACAATAGATTTTTTGTTTTTTTGTACATATGTTTTCTTTTTGTTTTTGTTGAAAATAAATGAAATGTTTTTTATATACACATATAATAAATAAACTGTTCTAATATTTCCTTTTTTATTTATACATGCACCCTGTCTATATTATTGTTTAAGGGTTCCACAGATAATTGGTAAAAAAGGGACCATTATCATTACATCATTAAATCATGCCTGTCCTCCTCAATCGCCCCTCTCTATCTCACCCTCCTAATTTTTACATTTGTAAAGTGCTATTATAAATCAAACGAAATCTGAAATATAATACGTGCAATAGAAAATATGTCTAACTTAGATTTTAGTAAGGTGATGCAAGTAACGTAAAACAAAATTATTATTCCTCTTAATTTCGTTTTAACAATTTTTAGGTATTTATTAGTTATATTGATGTACTGGCAACTCCAAGGAAAAGACAAGAAGAATTATTAAAGGCCTATTATTTTTTGTGTGAATGCCCAAAATGTTTGAATGAAAAAGAATTGAGATTAATGACTGCTGCTGCTTGTCCTATTTCTTCATGTAAGGGTTACATTGAGACATATAAAGGAGAAAAGGATGCAAGTCCATTACACTGTCTAGAATGCCACTGTGTAGCTTCTAAAGAATTTTTGGACGAGTTCAATGATGTTTGCCAGTTTACTCAAACTCAAATTGATAATATGAAAAACATGACCTGTGAGTTAATAATTATTATATTCTTACCATACACTCTTGTAGTCTACCAGTCTAGATCATAGTGTAGCATTAGGATGGTCACTATTTCGATTTCGGGATACCTGCTGTGTCCAAGTTTATCAATGATTTCCTTGAATTTTTTCGCTTCTTTTCTGTCTTCATTTCATGCGTCTCCTTCATTCCCCAATTTACCACACAAAAATTTCCACAATTAAAGGAGGGCCTAGTGTTCTATCCTACAGCTTTATACTGGAGTGTACACCAGAGGGACTGCCCACCCATTAGCATTAGTAGTTGCTGGGAATAAAAAAAAACAAATGTTCTTACTTATATTCTCATAAAATAACATCTAGATAGAAACATTTTGACTATTCTTGTGAAAGTACTTGTTAATTTATTATTTGCTATTTACAGATTTTGACGTTTGTAAAGTTTGCCTTCTTAAACATAAAGGACTATTGTACAGCATGAATATCCTTCATGTTAAGATTTTAGATTTGGCTTTTGAGTGCAGCATAGATTTAGAATTATGGAATGATGCAGTTGAGTTCGGAAAAGAACTTGTGGATAAGTTTAGGTAAGGCTATTCATTTATCTTCCATTTTAATTTAATTATATAACAATTCAGATATATTTGGAGTCAAGTTACTATTTATTTATTAGTATTATGTTGTTGATTTCAAATGAGGAAAGCATTTTCTGTACCTACATATGTAGGCATAAGAATATATTT